ATATTTCCTTAGTAAGTTGTCAGATCTTTGCAGCACATTTGTACATTCCTGATTACATTGAGGGAGTGTGGTGTTAGACGGAAAGTTGTCCCAATCTGTCTCCTGGGCAGAAGTGCTACTGTGTAGAGCCTCAGTCTAGTCTCATTAAATAGTGGGGCTGTATTTATGAGAACAGTCAGTGTGTCTGGGATAATTAATCTATTACCTCTTGCAGGGTCCATCAGCTGATTTTAATTATCTTTCTCTGGCAAGGAGAAATGAGTCTCACCATGTGGACCCAAAGCAGGATCCTAGAAATGAGAGTTAGAATTGTTGGTCACTTAGACATCATCATGTGTTTTTTAAGCAAAAAGTTGTTAGTTATATATATATATGTCATTTCCTTCCTGGTGTCTCTTCCTGACCCATCCTCCCAAGCACATCCCCTAAACATTTTTCTTATCTTGTTCCTTAGTATCTCTATGACGGGATGGACATAAGCAACTTAGCAGTGGATTTTGCTGTGGTTTGGAATGGAAACTTCATTATTGACAACCCAGAGGATTTGAAAGGTAAGGGGTGCTCTGTTTACTGCTGCAGTGTCTTATCCTTGAGTCATGTGGTGGAGGGGACCTGATAAGGGCTTGTGGGGGAGTGTGTGGTCAAGCCCATTTCTAGAAAAAGAAATTTCTATTCACAGGAAGACAGGGTTAGAACCCTGCTAGTCACAGCCAAGTTACACCACCATTGTATCCAGCATCATTATGATCCCAGTGTGGACTCTGCCCAGATTTCTAGCCCACAGTTAGCCATAGCCCAGACCCTCAGCATTACAGAAGTGGCCCTTAGTGAAAACAGCCTGTACGCTGCAAAAAGGAAATCTTTACTAAACACATTGACCGGCAGCCAGCTCAGAGACATCTCTGTCACATGTGGCTGCCTCAAACCCCTCTGTCACAGATCAGTAGGATGTGACCTGTGCTTCTCATATCACGTTACTTTGAGCCATCCACAAGGTTGAGGCGAGGTTTTCATGTTGGGCACTGAAATCTGGGAATCCCAATGGGACACACTTGTACAATAGTGCTGCATACTTTGACAAGGGGAATGGAGCATGAACTTAACAGGCCTGGGAGTGCAAGGAGAGAGAATAATTTGCAATAAGCATAAATAACAAGTGACTAGAAATCTGCAACAGCAAAAACTTCACCTTTGGACAGACTGCAAAACCCTCTGTCTCTCCACACAACATGGGCAGCAGCAGACCAAGCTTCTCTTCATACACTAACTTACCAAGGCACATCGATCCTAACCTAGCGTTATCACCTCTGAAAATATCTATGGGCCTCCCTACAGCTCTGTATTTTATATAGCATCCTTCACCCTGTAGGATCCCCAAGTGTTTTACAAGTTGTACATGGGAATACCACTTGCCCTCCACTCAAACGCAATTGCCTGTGATCATTTTAGGGAAGTAGATTTAACCAGGATATTAGATCTAAAACCTCTGATCATGTGAAAATTGAGTGTGCGCTTTGTATGTGCCTCTTATTATATCTTTGGTAATAGCAGTAGTCCATATGGATACTGCAGTTCATTATGTGGACTTTGCTTCTGGATGCCACAACACTCATTTTAGAAAAGACCTGTTAAAAGATCTGACCTGTCGAAAATCTACATTTGCCCTGCTCTGAAGCGAGCTAGTGCAGCCAAGCCCTGATAAAGAAAGAAACCTGTTATACTTCCAGCTATAGGAGGAATGCAGTAGGAAAATAGAGCCGGTACCAGAATAAATGGCTGTGAGACAAAATCTAGTGTATTGCAGAGCAAAATAGACTGAAAGCAGCAGATGAGCCCCCTGAAAAGAATACCTGTTAATAGTCCCATTTTGCTGAAGCAGGGACATCCATTTAACAGGTTCCTGTTTATCCACGTAGGAGTTATATTTTGCTTTTGAATGCTTTGAAATTTTCTGAGGAACCTGATACGTTGGAGCCCTGTTGGGAGACCCTGCCAAGCTCCCTGGAAATGGAGACATTGTTTCAATGAGGTCTTTCTTGGTTTAGGTCAATGGAGTAAACTAAACAAAGAGGTTTTCAACGCTGCCTTCCAAAGCAAGCATGGGAGCAATAATGTCTGAGAACATCTGGAAAAAGGATAAGTGGGAATGTGAAGGTTTAAAAGCTCCTTTGCCAACAAAACCGTGCGTGGCTCTGATGAGCCTGACTAACGTTCCCTGTGGTTCTCCAACTACGCTGCCCAGCTTTGCAACAGGGCTGCTTCTGTCCCAGCTGGCACTAGTCACCTGGGCAGCCGCGGTGGTCAGGGCAATCAGAAACGGCTGAGTTAGAGAGCGAGAGGCAGGGAGCGATCGGCTTGTTGAAAAACAAATGTGAGAGACGGTACCCCACGAGCTGTGCAGAATATTTACAGCCATTTAGGTACAAGGCAGATCTATCGGTAACCTTTCAGTTCATTACCCCCACAGGCCCTATTCCCCTTCTTCCCCCCGCCCTCCGCACACACATCTTTTTCAAGCATCTCCATGAGGTGGTCTCTTCTCTTCATCAGTCAAGGGGAATTGTGGGCTGTCTTCATCTCTACTGATACCGTAAGCACATGTCGCTCTTTTGGTCCTGAAGATTTAGTCTCCAGCTCAGTGCTCAGTCCGTGCCTCTCCCTTCTCCCCAGTTCACCTGTACAAATGCGCCGCCCAGCGGGAGAGCTGCGGCCTGTGCCTGAAAGCAGATCAGAAGTTCGAATGCGGCTGGTGCAGCGGAGAGGCCAAGTGCACGCTCCGGCAGCACTGCAGTTCCCCCATTCACCCTTGGCTCGACTGGTCCAGCAGGAACGTCAAGTGCTCCAATCCCCGCATCACCGAGGTAAGAGAATCCAGCCACAGCGAGTCCGCCTGTCTGTCATCCCTGGCCCATTCTGTTTAACCTCATCATGCTTGAAATGCCAGATTGATTTGTGTCTGCTCCTGGCTGCCTCATTTCTGGCCCAGATACAAGATATCCTCCATTCTGCACTGAAGAAGAATGAATAAAACACTTCAGTGCTTCCCGCAAAATTAATGTGTTGCTTCCTTAGCGTGTGACCAGGGGTTACGCCCTCACTGCCGACCATTCCCTCTCTGTCATTTGTCTGGATGTGTCCTCAGCACTGGGGTGCCCGCTATGCCCTGCTCCTTGGATACTAATTAAACCAGGGAGGTAATTAGTCTATAATTGACTTCTCTGGATTACAGGGAGGGAGTTAAGACCCTACACGAGGTGTCTCCTGGAGGAATTATTCACTGTAAAGCAGTTGTTGGGGTGATGCTTGTACTGTTGGTGGTGGCTCTTGGGGGCCAGATCAGAGTGTTGGATCCAGGAAGCCTTTGATTTCTTGCTTAGCTAGTTTCTAATACAAATTTAGGGTCTAATTTTCCATTGCCCTGCACTATGTGTTGCCATTCGCACCTGTGCAAAATGAATGTAAAGTGGGCATCAAAATGTTACCAAATCAGAATGGCTGCACAAGGGACAATCAGGCCTTCTCAGCGCACAGACTTGCACCAATTTAATGAAGGCCTTGTCTACACACAAGCTGCACCAGTTTAACCTGAATCCGTTTTTAAATAGGTTTAGTTAAACCCTGCACATTCATTTTTACGGTTTGAGTGGCTTATTTTCCATTTAGCAGAGAGCTGTTCATAGTGGCCTTATGCTAAACCAATATAAGTCTGGTTTACACCAAAATAAGTTTGTTCACACAGGGGGGTTGCACTACTTTAAATAAATCGTTGTCCTAGAATCACAGAGTTTAAGGCTAGAGGGGACCATTAGAACATCTAGGTGTACAAGTTCTATGTGCAGATCAGACCCCAGACCCTCAGTGTTCAAATTTTGATACAGATAGTCATAGAACAATGCCATGTATTTGTATATTTCAGTGGTTAGAATGGAAATCGTATTGCCTCTGTATAAATCCATGGTACGCCCACATCTTGAATACTGCATGCAGATGTGGTCTCCTCATCTCAAAAAATATATATATTGGAACTGGAAAGGGTTCTGAAAAGGGCAGCAAAAATGATTGGGGGTGTGGAATGGCTTCCATATAAGGAGAGATTAAAAAGACTGGGACTGTTCAGCTTGGAAAAGAGACGACTAAGGGGGGATATGATAGAGGTCTATGAAATCATGACTGGTGTGGAGAGAGTAAATAAGGAAGTATTATTTACTCCTCATTACACAAGAACTAGACGTCAACAAATGAAATTACTAGGCAGCCGGTTTAAAACAAATAAAAGGAAGTATTTCTTCACACAATGCACAGTCAACCTGTGGAACTCTTTGCCAGAGGATGTTGTGAAGGCCAAGACTATAAGTTTGGGGCTCAAAAAAGAACTAGATAAGTTCATAGATAAGTCCATCAATGGCTGTCAGCCAGGATGGGCAGGGATGGTGTCCCTAGCCTCTGTTTGCCAAAAGCTGGGAATGGGTGACAGGGGATGGATCACTTGATGATTCCCTGTTCTGTTCATTCCCTCTGGGGCACCTGGCATTGGCCACTGTCGGAAGACAGGATACTGGGCTAGATGGCCCTTTGGTCTGACCCAGTACGGCCGTTCCTATGTTCTCATTAAATGGATAGCTAAGTATATCTGTTTAGTCTGCAGAGCTGGGTTCAACTTACTAACAAATTAAAATGAGCTCCTCTTTCACACACTCATAGAAGTTAGAAGGGGCAAGACCTTACTGCTCTGGCCGTTACTGCCATCAGTGCAAACCCTTGGTGTAGACAAGGCAAGCTGCTACGGGCAGCCAACGTAACGGTGCAGCTTAGCCTGGTTTTAACTAGGAATAAGCTGCCCCAGGGCAAGTACCAGTTGCCTGTCTACACTGAGGGTTTGCATGGGTGCAGGTACACCAGTGGCTGGCTGAAATCAGGGTGTCTCCTCTTGAGTCTATTCTGCAGTGCTTTCTCTGATCCCAGGGCTTTAGGGGTTTATCTACACAGCAAAAGCTTTTCACAAGCTAGCCTACCTGAACTAGCTTGAATCCAGCCAGTGTGAGTAACAATAGCAGTGCAGACACCACAGCACGGCTTTCAGCACGGTAGTACAAGCCCAGCAGAGGCCCTGGTTATGGACTTCACTCATAGCCTGCCTTAAAGTCTGCACTGTCTTCACTGCTATTGTTAGCTTGAATCCAGCTCCTGCAGCTGTCTCGTGTAGACTTGGGGTGAGTCTCATAAGTTGGTGCTTTCACTACTGCCCCTTGGAGGACACACTACAGACTAACACCTGTCAGGGCCAGCTCCAGGGTTTTTGCCGCCCCAAGCGGCGCAAAAAAAAGGCCGCGATCGCGATCTGCGGTGGCAATTCAGCAGGAGGTTCTTCGCTCCGAGCAGGAGTGAGGGACCGTCCGCCGAATTCCCGCCGAATAGCTGGACGTGCTGCCCCTCTCCGGAGTGGCCGCCCCAAGCACTTGCTTGGCAAGCTGGTGCCTGGAGCCGGCCCTGACACCTGTGATGGTTCAGAAGCTGTTCCTCAGATTCACTTTCCTCATTTCATCTCTTCCCCTTTAAATCATTCCTCTCCCTCCTTGTATTTTCAGTGTTGTTGTTGTTCATGCTTCAATTTGTTACTTTTTGACAAGAAAGGACACTTATTATTATAAGGTGTCAGGTTCTGATTAATTTCACTCCATCATCATCAAATTGTGAGAAAGAAACAGACACAAGAGCTTTTCTAAAAACACAATAATATTTACCATTTACGTGATGCTGTTCCTCTGTTGAACACTTCGCAGACTTTAGCTAATGGTCACAACCTCTGGTGAGCCGGGTAAATATCATTATCCTCCTTTGACCGAGAGGGAGGGGAGAAAACAAGCATTAAGCACTGGGGTAGATTTGTGAGGTTGCACCAGGGCTGTATGTGGCCCAAAGAGTTTGACTGGTCCTAGGCCTCAGAGGGAGTTGGTAAGGAGATACTACCTGCCAGTCCCGTGCTGCAGCTGGAAGGGAGTCTCCCAGCCTGGGTAGACTGACTTGTGGTAGCAGGGTTTGAGCTAGTGTGGTAGCTGCATGGATGTTGCGTCTCTGGCAGAGATTCTGGTTAGCCACCCGAGTTCAGTAACCCCCGCCCCCCGACTCTCCCCACCCTGTCTGTCTTATGAAAACATGGGTGATTTTCATACTTGGGCCCTATCATGTCATCCTTTGTTGTTGGAGCCTGATATGTGGCCCCCTCCAGATGCCTTTCAGCCAATGAAATCACAGCTTTTAGCTGAAAAGATCTTGCATCTCCATCTCTTGTGCAGTTTCACCACTGCTGGTTTTTAGAGACTAAAATGTACTAGGTCTGCAGGGCTATAGAAAAGCAAGGATAATGGCGGTGCTGATTGTACAAAGAGATCAGCAGGTTAAGAAATCAAGCAGCCGAGCTTGGTGGAATGAGTTCAGGGATTGCTGCCTCTCCTACATCAAACGTCAGTTTTGGATTATTTTACAGGCTGTAGCTTGGTTTTGACAGACCCACCCCAAGAGAGTATGTTCTAGGCCTCCCCCAACAGGGAACAGTCCAAGAGTCTCTTGATTTGTATAAAAGCCAGATTAGGAGCTCATCGGTCACTCTTTTTCTCCCCAGCACCCTCGCTGTAATAAAATTCGCCTTGGAATCATCGATGGCTGTCCCTGACAGCAGCCACCAGGGTGCATCTGAGCTCATAGTCAGCTCAACCTAGAGAAAAGGAAACCCTTGGCAAATTGAAATGCGACAGGACTCCTGACCCATTGTGACAAGTTTTCGTTGGTTTCCTATTTAATGCTTTCTCCAGCTCTATGTAAGCTCACTAACTCCCTGCAGTTTAAGATCATGAGAAACATTAACCTCAGCAGAAAAGGAGGATTCAGGCAATGTTACATTTTCCAGCAGAGCGAAAGAGAGAAGAGGCTATAGTCTTCTCTTTGCAAATCTGGAGTAACGCTTTTGACTTCAGTGGAGCTGCTCAGGGTTTACGCTGGTGTAACAGAGCAGAATATGGCCTTGTCAAGTGAAATCCATGAGATTCTAGTATGGGCAAGTGATTCTCTCATCTAGCAATATTCTCCTTATCTAACATTTGAACGTCTGAACATGAATTGCTCTCCAGCTCACCCTTCTGCTGGAGCTCAGCCACCTCAATAGGTGCATACATGGACATGCACACGTGTGTACACTCAGTGTCTGCGCTTATGTTTCTTCCAGTTATCACCGTAGAGTTAGATACTTGTGTCCACAGGCAGGAATCCAGAACGGTTATCTCCCGAGTGCCCCAGATATTGTGAGGGAATAACTTGTGCTATAACCTTGCCCAGTCTACAGGGACGGGCTGATTTCACTGGCGACTGAATAATGTATTCTTTTTCCATCATGCCTTTTCAGCATCACTGATCTCAAAACGCCATACAGAATATGGAATGTGCACTGATGAAATGCAGCCACCTCTGGGGCAACCAGCTGGTGTACAAACACATTGGTGGAGGGAGTGGGGAAATTGGCAAAGGACAAAGCTCTGGCTTTATTAGAGGTGCCTCGATAGAATGAACCTTCGTTTGTAAGGGCTCACTCCGAAGATTCACCTCACGTAGCAGCATGGTACTCTGCTTACCTACCCCTGATGGGTGAAGGCCTGTACTGGTTGTCTAGGACTGGTCGAACCAGAGCTGGATCACCCGGGTAAGGAGCTCCATGCTTGATCTTAGGTGAGATGTCCTTGTGGGGCTACTCAGACGTCCCCAAGCTCATTCGACTTGTTTTCTAATAACCAGGAGGCACTGCCAGCCTGGAAGTTTTTCTAACCTGCAGCAGCCTCGGCTTGGGTGGTATGGCCGCAGAATTTCCACAGGC